ACACTCACATATATGTGGCTTAAATGCTGCTCTTTAAGTTCTTTCCAAAGCTTCTATGCTACTTACCCTACATCACATCTCTGAGCTCACCTACACTCAGTGGTTTTGATTATGAACTACATACTTCCAAAATCTTTATCTCTAAATCAATATACTCAGTTGGTAATTGGATATTCCATTTATAAGTCCTACAAAATTTCAAACTCAGTGTGTCTAAAACTTTCTCATCATCCTCTTCCCAAACTTTTAATGTTCCCCTTTGAGAGTGGTATCATTTCTTGTACCTTATACTTCAGACAACAAATACTTTGAAAAATTTACCATCATGGGAGAAATATTAGTACCCTTCAATAAAGAGCCACACAGCTTTTCTATAAAGAAACCATATTTTAAAAATGGTTAAGATGGCCCTAGCTGGTTTGGCTCAGTGGATAGAGCATCAGCCTGCAGAGTGAAGGGTCCCTGGTTCAATTCCCCTCAAAGACACATGCCTGGATTGTGGGCTTGGTCCCCAGTAGGGGGTGTGCAGGAAGCAGCTGATCAATGACTCTCTCTCATCATTGATGTTTCTATCTCTCCCTCTCCCTTCCTCTCTGAAATCAATAAAAATATATATTTTTAAAATGGTTAAGATGGTAAATTTTATGTGTATTTTAACACAATTAAAATTTATTCTTTCTCCATTTCACTTCCCTCCTCACTTACTAATCTACCTCTCTATTCCTTTTTTCAACTTTTCCAAAGAGGTAAGTAACCATATCCCCTTTTTCCATTTTAACTCTTATTCTTTTATTCAATACATTAAAAAAAATACATTTTAGACCAGCATCTGCCCTTTCACACAACCAACCCTGCTCTGATGAAGGTCATATTGCTAAGACCACGGAATGCGTACTGGTCTTTATTTTATTTGAGCTCTCAACAGCATTGGGAGATCTTTAAGCCACTTTTTACATTGAAGTCTGAAATTATATTTTCCAGAGCCTTCTGAGTCCTCTTTTAAAATATATATATATATGTGTATATATATATATCTTCAATAAAGAGCCACACAGCTTTTCTATAAAGAAACCATATTCACAATAGATTCACAATAGACCCCCAGCAATGTTTATCTGGTGTTTGACAGCCTTTTAAACTTAAGAAAGTTTATCCTTTCTGAATTTCATTTTTTTTTTCAACTGTAAAATAAGAAAAACTACCCCACTGGTTGTAAGGATTAAGAAAAGTAATATACTTAGGGCTTAATACAGAATGTGGCACAGAGTAAACACTTAACAAATGTTACTTCAAAAAAAGCCACCCTATTATTTACCAGTCGCCTTAGCTGTACCTTCCCTAGATCCAGTAACCTGCAGCAGCCTTTGTCACAATCCCTTATTTTGCAAATCAGGATGAACTTATCTCTATCAGCAAAGGAATTTAAAAGGCTAAATGAAGTAATGTACATGTGAACCAGGCCTAATGGACAGTCGGTGTAAACACAAGGGCGGTAAAACACAGTGGCTGATAAACATTTTGAATATCACCTCTGGTCTTATACTCTGTAAAGACTTCTCAACCATTATGATGAAAATACTGATTTTTCTCTTCTTCTTGCTCTCTTACCAATATATTTATACTTCACTTACCTTACAGTATATTAACTGGTTGTTTGTGCTTCTGGTTTCCTCTGACTTAGAAGTACATTGAGGCAAAGTCTGTACATTCTATATATATTTTGTGGACCCAGTACTTAACCCAAATCCTGTCATGCATTGTTATCATTTAGTAAATTATTGTTGAAAAAACACATGGGAGAAAGTGTAGTTTTTGCTATAATGCATAAGAGAAATAACACTCAAATCTCTTTTGCAGAAAATCAAATATGTTTAATTAAGTCTTCATTTTATTCTAGGGAAAATACCTTCTTTTAAATAAATGGCCTGATTGATCCTTAATACAGATGAGGGCAAAAGTAGGTTTACAGTTGTAATACAAGTAAATAATACAATAATTAATAAATAATAAGCTGTTTAATGTACTTTCAACTGTAAACCTATCTTTGCTGACCCCTGTATCTGTATTAATATTTTGATAAATTATGCCTATTTTTTGTCTTTTGAATTTTTTAATGGATTTATATTACTGCTGTTGATAGTATTTTGAATCAATAACTGAGATTTGATTTCTCCCCCAATATTTTATTATGTCTAAAAATTGAGTATTTCTTACAGGCCTTTGTGTTGCCACCTTGGGCATTGCAGTATTGATACGAATTTTGACTACATTTCTGATGGTGTGTTTTGCTGGTTTTAACATAAAAGAAAAGATATTCATTTCTTTTGCATGGCTTCCGAAGGCCACAGTCCAGGTAATGGTAGCTAAAGAATGGCTTTACAGTTTAACTCCCATTTCTATTTGATACCTTGAAATTTTAAATAAAAGAGCTTAGTCAAATTTGGTGAAAATAAGTAATTGAAGTTTGATTTGTAAAGAGTTTTACTCATCTATTCTTTAAAAGTTTTATTTTTGGTATATCAAGTCCTTAAATATGACAGCTCATTTAAATTTATTTAGATCAGTGGTTCTCAACCTTGGCTGCACATTAGAATCACCTAGGAATCTTTTTAAAATCCTGATTTCTGGGCCTCATCCTCCGGAAATTCTGTTTCTTTGTTATGGGGTGGGGCCACAATATTAGTAACAAAGAAACAGCATTTCCAGAGGATGAGGCCCAGAAATCCAGATTTTAAAAAGATTCCCAGGTGCTTCTAATGTGCAGCCAAGGTTGAGAACCACTGATTTAGATCACCAGGGTACAACAGAAATTCCAATAAATTTCCCTCACATTGTTAAGAAGCAGTAGTAGCAGGAGGAAAGAGTTTGAATTTTCATCAATGAGAGCTCTCTAAATTCCCCAGAGAGATAGTTGTTAATACTTTTTATTTCATTATCTTCTAAGAAGAGAGTGAAACAAATAGTATGGTTTGTCTAAGTATTTGGAAATACTTCAGCATCAATATGATTGGTGATGTTATGCTTGACCACAGTCTTTATATATACAGTAGAAGACTTTATTGACAAACATTTCAGAAAATGTTTTACTGATTTCCTAGATTATTAGTTAATGTTGTTTTTCAAACTAGCTGAACCTTCCATCAGTTGTCTCAACACAGGACCCAAAATTCATGCCCTTAATGAACAAGGCACTAACAGGTGCTTGAAATTATTGACCAGGAATTTGATAGACTCCCTATAATTGCTCGTTAAATCAGCACTCTTAGAGCAGTGCTTCTCAACCTTCGCTGCACATTACTAATGTTGTGGCCCAACCTCATTACAAAGAAACAGAATTTCCGGAGGATGAGGCCCAGAAATCAGGATTTTAAAAAGATTCCCAGGTGATTCTAATGTACAGTCAAGGTTGAGAACCACTGCTTTAGAGTATGATTTGCTGCAAATATAATATATTCCTAATTGTATCGTATATTTTTTTTTTATCACTGAGGATATGTTTTTTTGTTTGTTCACTTGTTTTATTTTAGAGAGAAAAAGGAAGGGAGAGAGAGAAACAAACATTATGTGAGAGAGAAACATCAATCAGCTGCCTCCTATACTCAACCCCATCAGGGATCAACCTGCAACCTGGGTATGTGCCCTGACCAGGAATTGAATCCACGACTTTTCAGTGTACAGATGATGCTCCAACCAACTAAGCCACACTAGCCCGGGCTGCATTGCGTATTTTCTAGAGTAATTATAGCAAATGAGATTTAACACTTCCATCCCTGATTTTTTTCAATTATTTAAGTATCTATTTCATGAAATGAAAATCAAATGTTCATACTTTAGGAATTTTGGGGGGATGTGTATGCTCTGTAACTACATGCCAGATGTTGTACAGTTCTGGGCTTAAGTATTATTTCAAAAAAGTTTTTTCTTTCCATCAGACTTTCAAAGATGTCTGATATATAATTGCTAAGAATACTGTGAGGTTAATATAGTGCAATAGATACAATAGTTTCTCCCTCAGTGTCTTCAGCTTCCACACTACTTCTGGTAACTTTAGTAAATAAATGTTAAAAGAATCCCTCTAGTAGCTTTGATATAAAATATTTGTTTCTAAGCATTAAACTTTAAAAGATGGCACCTTCCTGTTATCAAAGAAAAATTTAAAAAACAAGATATATTGTCTAGGAATATAGATAATATCTGTGTTCAAGAATGTATGTTCTGTGAAACAAGTATTGTATAGAATTTTCTTTTTTCTCCCTTTGCCACAGCACAAGACTTTTTATGCATCTTTTCTATATTAGTTGTTTTTCAAACATTTTTTCATATGATACTATAAAAATATACTTTAAATCACAATTCAGTATACATATACACTCCCAAAGATATACACACATACATATACACACATAAAAGAGAAATATACAGTTGACCCTTGAGCAATACAGGGGTCAGGGGTCAAAAATTCGTGTTTAAGTTTTGACTCCCGCAAAATTCAGCTGTCCCTCCGTATCAGTGAGGGATTGGTTCCAGGACCCACCTGTGCTTACCAAATCTGAGGATGCTCAAGGCCCTTATATAGGGTGTCCCAAAATTCACGCAAGATTTGGAATTGAATTGAATTGCAAATCTTGCGTGAATTTTGGGACACCCTATATAAAGTGGTGTAGAACAATGCATACACTCAGCCCTCTGCATCTGCAGATTCCCAACTGCAGGTGGAAAATGCTCCCCCCCCCCCCCCACATGCAAAAGAAGTTGATCCTTTTTTAAAAAATACCACATATAAAATTAACATAAAACAGATAAGATCTAAACATCAGAGCTAAAACAAGAACACTTTTTGGGGGAAACCACAGTGGAAAATCTTCATGACATTGCATTTGGAGATGATTTCTTGAATATGACATCAAAGATATGGATATGACATCAAAAATATGGGAGCAAAAGAAAAATAGATAACCAGGCCTACGTCAAAATTCAAATCTTCTGCGTATCAAAGGGCACTGTCCAAAGCCAACCTCAGTTCCTGCCCTGGTGGGTCTTCTAGTTTAGCGAGGCAGACCGGCTCCAGACAAGTGTGGCGCATGCTCTGAGAGGGACACTGTAGAACTGAACTACAGAGGGTGTAAAACTGCAAACTCCTCAGGGGAGACCCGCAGAGCAGTGCAGCCATGGGCAAGCTGGACAAGTTTTCTCTCTCAGCTTTGTGTTATAGTCCCTGGGGCCAGGCTTAAGCAATTCGGGAAAAGATGCTTACGTAACTCTTTTGTAGTTGAAGATTCATTTTTCACTTCTCCTTAGAACAGAACACTGCTGGTCACCTTCTGAGTCCTGCACCATCAAATGTTGGTTTGCTTTTTGTGCCATACTCTTCGGCTGGATAATTCCAGATCCTTTCACTTTTCTGCTTTAAGACCCTATGGCAGCGGTTCTCAACCTGTGGGTCGCGACCCCTTTGGGGGTCGAACGACCCTTTCACCCGGCTCGCCTATAGTGTAAGCCGATAATGCCTGCCATGTGGGGGTGCTCGGTGTAGGCGATCCTGATTCACTACTAGTCTCATGTGGGGCTTTCGGTAAGGATCCAAACTGGGCAGCAGAAATCCTGCCTTCGTGCTCAGGAGAAGTGTCTTGAAGGCCCCCCCAACACCCCCATACCGGCCTCCCACACCACCCTGTCCTCCTTTAAGTCTGGGCTTCCGAGAGCCCTGATTTGGTCCACACTCTCAGGCGGACTCTGTGGGCGTGGGTGCCGCCCCCGGAAGCTGTTTTCAATCATGGTTAATTGAATTCACAGCTGCAAAACCTAGAGATATGGAGGGCTGACTGTATATTTATCGAAAAAAAATTCACGTATAAGTGGACCTGCAGAGTTCAAACCCGTATTGTTCAAGAGTTGGATATATATCATCATGTGTGCAATCCTTTCCAAGAATTCATGAAACACTGAATTAGTTATGGTGCCAGGTAACCTGCAATAACAAAGAAGCCTCAATACAGGGACTAAATTAGATAGCTTTTTTCTTTCTCAACAGCAGTCCTGCAAGGGCATCCCAGAGCTGGCAGGGTGACCACTGTCCTCAGCATGTGCCTTTCAATGAGTCCAGCTTCCACAGTTTCTCACCCAGTGAGAAAGGGGGAAAGAATAAGGTACAAGTGTCTATTTGTTTTCAGGGAACAACCGGAAGTAGCATTTATCACTTCCACTCACTTCTCAGTGGCCTTAGATACAGAGCTTCATCTTGCTGCAATGAAGGCTGAAAAAAAAGTGTCTGTATGGATAGCAATGAGACCAGCTAAAACTCAGGAATTATATAATAAGGAAGGAAAAAGGGACATTCAGATATTTGTGGTCAGTTAGTAGTCTCTGCCATTGTGTCTCATGCACACTAACATTTCCTCTTCTGTTTCACTGTCCTAGAGGCTAATGTGTTCAGTGGAATAAGGGGAAAACCAGATAGACTGATATATGATTTTCCCATATGCACTGTATTTTGCCTCTAAAAGGAAAACAAGAAGTTTTATAAGATTTTCCAGTAAACTTTAAATGAAACATTTCACCAACCCTGAGCCAAAGAGTTAACCAAATACCTAGTTTTGAAGGTACTACCACTTTCAAGTTTCATGATGTTTAAAAATTAGTTTTGATTCTAAAACAATACATATTCTTTTTTTCATTTAAAACTTCATCATCTTCCAGTAAGTATCACTACATATTTTTTTCATCTTGTTCTTTCTTAATTCCAAATCCCTAAAGATGAAAAATTGAGATGCCCAGTAACTTTCCTCTTTAGTCAGAAGAAATGTAAAGAATCATGTTATAATTAGCTAATCATAAGTCTGTGTTCACCTTGTGTTTTGAAATATATTTGCCTGATATTTTTTGTAACCTTACCTTTTCAGAGAGGTATAGATGAATCATCATTCTTTCCCCGTGCAAAGGCAGGGGCAGTTTTCAAACAATCAGAACCAACTTCAGTATACTTTGAAAGAAGACTTACTGAACTTTCTTAGTTGAGCAAAAGAATAAGCAATTTTCCGTAGCTGGTTTGGCTCAGTGGATAGAGTGTCAGCCTGTGGCCTGAAGGGACCTGGGTTCAACTCTGATCAAGGGCACATCCCAGGTTGTGGGCTCCATCCCCAGGAGGGGGCATGCAAGGGGCAGCCGAACAATGATTCTCTCATCATTGATGTTTCTATCTCTCCCTTCTCAGAAATCAATAAAAAATATTTTTTTAAAAAAAGATTCATTATTTTTTTAAAAGAATAAGCAATTTGTTTAAAAATAATTGGCCTTCTGTCTATGTGTTTATCTTATTGTGTTTACAAAATTTACCTTTAAACTTTTATAGGCTGCAATAGGATCTGTAGCTTTGGACACAGCAAGATCACATGGAGATAAACAGTCAGAAGAATATGGAATGGACGTGCTGACAGTGGCGTTTCTGGCCATCCTCATCACAGCCCCGATTGGAAGCCTACTGATTGGCTTGCTGGGCCCCAGGCTTCTCCAGAAAGCTGCCCATCAAAATAGAGATGAGGAAGTTCAAGGGGAAATTTCTATACACCTTTAGAGGTGAAAGGAAAGAATGCTGAATATGATGATTAGAAAGCTGCTAACAGAGGCTACTTTTATCAAGATGAATCCTGAAATATGTAATGTGTAAGCTTAAAATGAATAGAACCAAACGTGTGACTATTTCTTTAAACAGCATTTTTAGCCATTACCCTTTCCATGTGGATGGTGATGTTCTGCATCTCCAACCTGATCTCTCTACCTTATTATTTTTTCAAACGCCACTTCATCACATATCTCAATTTGTACAGGGGCATATACACTTGAATGTGCTACCACAATTTAAAATTCACCTGAGAAAGACCAAGTTCAGAATCCTGTTCTGCCAGCCAACAGCTTTCCCCAACTCACTGTTAGTCACAGCTTCATGATGCGTGGTCACCTAGCTTATCGTGTGTTGAGTTGGCTCCTTTTTTTTTTTTTTTTTTTTTTTTACCTCCACTTCTACCCCTCTTATTAGAACAGATTCGTCCTGCCAAAATATTAAAGTACACAAAGCGTCTTCATTGGTTCTTCCTCTTGCGCTTTCTAGACAACAGAAGCCCTTGTCCTGACTCCTAGCTGGCTACACAGAGTCCCCCTTTCAGTGGCGCCTCTGGGTTTGCCTCCACCTAAAGAGCGCCCTGTCCAGCCCTTTGTTATTTGTTTCAGGTTCTTCCTGTTCTCTAGGTGAGAGGTAACTCATTTTCAAATCTATGCCAACCTCATAAGTTGCTATAATGAAGAAACAAACAAACAAAAAAATACCAAGTAGAAATGTATTTGTGTGTTATGAAACTGACTGGCTGATTGATGCTGACAGGGTTCCTCTGCTCATGAGGAAACTCAGACCCACCCTCTGTCTGGAGGCTCTGCTCTGCTCAGGACACAGGTTAAAGATGGGTCTCCTTTCTAGCCCTCAGGACGAAGGGAATAAGGAAGTCCAAGGCAAGCAATTTGTTTTTAAGGAAGTGGCAGGAGGGTGGACACACATCTCCCCTACATTCTATTGGTGACAACCACACCAGCTGTGAGGAGGCAGAGAAGCATTCACATTCCTACCAGGAAGGAAAGATCAGATTGGGGAGCCAGAGGTGCCTTTGTGCTGGCAGGCACCACCACTTGGTCACATATTCTTGCATTTTAACAAAGGCTTTCACTCTTTAACTAAAAGAGTGACTTCTGTGGCTGGAATTTCAGACATTGGGACATGCCAGCAGAGAGGATAGTAGAGGAAAAATTCATCTGCATAGGTCACACTGTATCCTACTTACTCAACTATCTCTGCTTTGGTATAACACCCATAAGTGCCTTTATTACTGTTGGTCAACTCCTAGTTGCTAGGATAATCATGCTAAAATACTGTTTGCAACTTTTGTCATGTTGTTTATATACATAAATAATTTATTACTTCTTGTCGTATCCCATCCAAACCATTTAACCTAGAATTCAAAATTCTATCTAACCTTGAATTATATAATATGTATTAAATGAGTGGATTATGAATACTCTGATTCCACCAAAGTGATCTGTATACAGCCTCTCCATGCCCCTTCTCCCATGATGTTCACCTCCATTCAAAACTAGCTTAATTTGTATTCAGTTAACATACTATAAAGTCAATGTTTTTCTCTTTGGCATTAACGTTAAATAACCTTGATTGAACTTGCGTGTGCTCAAAATTTCCTGAGCCATACATTTGCAAACAATCTCATCCATTACATTCTTTAACAATAATATTTGATTATTTTTTCTGATTATAAAATAACATTTCAATTACAGAAAATTTAGAACACAGGAAAGTACAAGAAAGAAAACTGAGACTACTCTTAGTGTAAATACCCGTTTTATTCAGATTCTTTTAAATTTTACCCTTGCAGTTCTGAAGAATGTGTTATTTTCATAAAGGTATATTCTCCATTGAATTAGTTGGGCCAAAGTTAACATAAATGCATACATTTGAGTTTTGTGAAGATATATATATTGATGACTTTTTATTGTATATAATGAATGGTAAGCCTCCCCCAAATTTTTATTCACCTGTTCTAATATTCATTTTGCAATAAATAAAATAAAAATCCTTGCCGTCGTGGAGCTTATGTTTTAAAATTCATTCATTCACTCATTCAAATACACTTAAAAACATGTTTGCTATATGCCAGGCTTTATGCTAGCTACTGGGGAATACCGTGATAAACAAGGGCTCTGTTTTTAATGCAACTTGAATTCTAGTGGGTGGTTGAAACTTGGGAATACAGATGTAAATAAGACATTCTTGTTTTCAAGAATCTTACAAGAAAGTAGGATATGTTCAAATAGCTGTAATCCAAGTGAATGATTCAAACGTGTTCTCAAAGATCAAAGACGGTGGTAGAGTAGGTGAATGTTACATTTACCTCCTCCCAGCACCAAACTGGAATTATAACTAAAATATAGAGCAATCAACCTGAATAACCAACTAAAGACTAGCTGAAGAGGGGTCTTAAAACCAAGGATCTAGAAAAGAAACCACATCAAGACTGGTAGGAAGGTCAGAGGTACAAAATGGGCTGGCCCTGCTCCCATAGGTGGCAGCTGGGCTTCTGGAGGAATATCTCAGCTATAGGGGTTCCCGGTAGAGGCCTCCAAGCCAGACTCCCCAGCCCAGAGCACTAGAGGCAGAAAGAGGCGCCCATATAACATCTGGCTGTGAAAATCAACAGGAAGACAGACCAGCATGGCTCAGCAGGTGAGCATCGACCCATGAACCAGGAGGTCGCTGTTCCATTCCTGGTCAGGGCACATGCCCAGGTTGCAGGCTCTATCCTGGGTGTGGGACATGCAGGAAGCATTCGATCAATTATTCTCCCTCAGCATTGATATTTCTCTCTCTTCCTCTCCCTTCTTCTCTGAAATCAGTAAAAATATATTTTTCAAAACTAAACTATCAGTGCTGAACTTTCAGCCCAGACAGGATTGACCCCAGAGACTGCTATTTTATGGTATTTAAGATGACTTCAGGAAAACAAGATCTGACTTGTGACAAGTTACTCCTGATCCGTGCAGCAGAGGGCGGTAGGGGGGCGCTACGATATGGCCACAGGGTTCTGTAATGTCAACTATGTGCCTGGATTTTTACAAACCAATAGGTTAAGATTCAGAAGAGACGTTGAGATTTGAAAAGGGTTGGAGAGACCGAAATAAACACCTGGCAGTCCGGGTGAATACGGGAACTCTCGAGTCCACAGTGGGAGCAGCTACAACGCCACTTACCAGTAAAGGCTCCGCCGCCACCAGCCCCACTCAGGCCCCGCCCA